GGGGGAGCAGAGTGCCGGTGAACCCCACAGAAACGGGCATGGCTGCACGGGGAGGCTTCCTGTGGTAACTGCTGAAAGGGAGTGGCCAGGCACGTGCGAGGAAGGCGTCACCGAACTAGTCCCTCCGTGGCAGTTACAACAGCAATTCAGACATCCTGGCCAGGCAAATAATTTATCCGACCATGCCCTACTGCGGCAAACGGGACGCAGGGTGGGAGACACGTCTTCGTTGTGTCTGCCTCAATTTTCACTGTCTTTGGTGACCACAAAAGGCAAAGCACACAACACTGGAAAAACTGTAAAAGTAAAGCATCAGGGTCTGCGTGTGCAGGGAAAGAACCGAACCTGGAGCGTCACAGTCCCTAATGACCTCAGAGCCCCACTACTCATGCCGTGTTCACCAACCCCACGCCCGAGGGCTGAGGCTCCCTCACTCCAGGCACTGCACATCCCATAAAAAAATAAAAAAATAAAAAATAAAAATAAAAACCCAGCAGCACCTTCTCCAAGCTTTCTCCTTTCTGGAGCTACCTACAGTGATCACAGTTGACCTCTGTGTTCAACACTTGGCTCCCAAGGATCAATTTGCCTGATGGTGCCTCTTAAACCCAGCATCTTTTCCACATCTTCAGCCAACCCAGGGCGGATGACAACAGTAATACCGTATCTTGAAAGTCACCCTCTTCTAGAGGCCAGATGATCATTCAATTGGAACAGACAACACAGAGGACAAAGAGTAAGAGGGGAAACCCCATTGCTCCCCTTTCAGGTCTCCTAAAAGCCATCACAAGGTTAAGGAAGAGATGGCTTAATAAAGACAAGATGGACAGTATAAGGCCAAACATCAGATTAATAAACTTTGCCTGAGGTTACTCTGTGATTTATCTTGGGAAAAAATCTTAGCACTCGTTTATCATTACCGGTGAGAACTGCTGCACCAGGTCAGTCCTGGACGTCCAGGGCCACGTGGCTTCCAGCTGTGCGTGCCCAGAATCCTACCTATACTAGAGGCCTGCTGCTCTAGGGAAGACAAGGAAAGCAAAGCTAGGTGTAAATAAATCCTTACAAATAAGGCAGAGGGAGGGGAGCATCTAAGTTTAATAAAACTTGAAAATAAGAACACAATCAAACTCAGCTGACTTTTTCCAAAGCCAGCTGACTGTCCAGAGGACACACAATCCAGAGACAGAGCCCCTCACACCACTCACACACAAAGAAGGCCCCGTCTGCCACCAACACAGATGGCACCAAATACCCTCACCTGAACTCTGACACCCTGACCCCACACAATGTGGATGACATTTCGAAAAGGTTTATTTTTCAAAAGCTTTGTTGGTTACAGATTATGATTTTGAAAAGCTTTTCCTTAAAGTTCTATTTTCAGAAAAATAGCAGAAAGTTAGTGGGAAGTGTGTCGACATTAAAACAAATACAAGCGTGCAGTGCCACCGCCTCGTTGTTTCACAAGCTCCTTTAAACACAGTGCCTCCGCCAAGGTCTTCTGCTCCCCTTACACCACACCTTCCAGCGGGCTGCGTGCTGAGTGATAGCCCACTCACTGCCGCGGCAGACGAAGCCACGCGCCATACAAATGAAGCCTCAGGGTGTAAATAATACGGTGTCTACCTCAGTGACAAATGTGTCACAAAGGCCACACTAACAAACTCCCATCACGCAGTCCAAGAGACCAGCTGTCTCCTGTGGGAAGGGCAGCTGATGCCTGACGCCTGAGACTGACACGGGACTGCCCCTGTCATTCAGAACTGCAGCTCCAGGGCGACCCCGACCTCCCATGATTAACATTCTGGGACTCAGCTCAACTGCAGGAAAACAAAGGAGTCACTGCCCAGTCACAGCACACTACCGCGGCCCAGCTTCAGAGTCTGTTAAAATTCAGGGCTGCAGCAGCCGCCCTGCCCCAGGAAGGGAAACGGGAAGGAAAAAGGCATTATTAGACCTTATGAGAACAGTACAGAAAACATGTCACGGTATCCCATAGATGTCACATTAGCAGTAAATGTAGTGTTTTCCTAAGTAGACAGTGTATCACATACCCTAAATTGCCCAACTACTGTAAAAATTAGCCCTCCAGGTCACAAACATAAGAAAAAAAATATATGAACCTCTCTTAATATGTACTTCTTGATCAATTCATCTGAACCTAAAAATATTTAGGCTTAAATTATTCATTTGTCAGTAAGCTGTTGTTTTTTTTAAACTCATGCTTTGGCAAGTGACAGTTCCTATGGAGAGTTTACTCCCTTATAGCCAACTGAGATTAAATCCATTAAAAATGAAATATAAATTCTACAAAATAACATTAAAACTGGTAAAAAAAAAAAAAAAAAAAAGGAAATGATAACCCAGGTGAAGACTCAAGGTGAAAACTTTGACCTTAATTAATCACAATTTTCTACTGTAATTAATGGAAATTTACAAGTTTAAACTAAAAACCCCAGTTCAATTATTTGAAATATCAAGTGTTTTTAGCACTAAATATCAATAATTATATTTAGCTACACATACATATGTATACACACATAGGTAATTTTTAAGAGTAAAAACTGAAGTGTTCATCCAAATTAATCTTTAAACTAAGTTTGGAGAAAATGCTCAAAAGCAGGGATAAATATTTTCTGGGCAACAAAACTACTCTGTATGATACTGTAATGGTGGATACAAGACACCATACACTTGTCAAGACCCAGAGAATGCACAGCAAAGAGAAAACCTAATGAAAACTATGGACTTGATTTGATACTAATGTATTAATACTCAACCAATGTTTAAATCAATCACTTGTAAAAAATGTAGCACACTAATACCAGATATTAATGATAGGGGAATAGTATGAGGGACATAGGGAAATTGTACTTTCAGTGTAACTTTCCAGTATACCTAAAGTTTTCTAAAACAGTAATATCTGTTTGAAATGAAAATAATTTCAAAATACCACTCAATGCCAAATTTGTGTTGTACAACAGCCAGAGCAGAATGCCAACTCATCGTTTACAGATGTGCTGTGCACCTTCACAACTTGAGGATGTGCCCCTGGACACTCACGATCCAAACAGGAAAAGGCCCCAGAGACCCTGAGCCAGGATAGGGTTAAGGATCAACCAGTTCAGGAGAGCTGATGGAGAGAAAGGCTAACAGAGAGAGCTATAACACCACCAGCACTTTACTGCCTTCAATAGCTTTGTTTTTAAGTTGCTCCTGGTTGCCCTCTGCTATGGCAATCAGAAACCAGAGCCACAGGAGAATTTCTAGCAGAGAGGAGTCTGTGACAGACCCAGGTGCTCGCTAAAGCATCAGAAGAGCTGAGATAGGAAAATGGGGGCCAGGCTGCTAGATCCACCACAGGACCGATTTGCTCTGAACTGCTCCATCCAGTGCTCTGAACTCCGTCTCCACCACACTGCTCCTGCCTTCAAGACACCCACAAAGCAGGAATGGAAATAGAAAACCAGACTTTGGGAATGTAACCAAGATCAAAGGGAAGGGGACACACAATTTAAGGACAGCTGAAGCTTACCAAGAAGAATCAACAGGCTAACCGAGGAGGAGTGGCTCAAACTGACTATGTTTGACTTACTTTAGCCTGAGGTTCTCAGAAGTAAAATGCACAGAAATAAAGCAAAAGACCACTCTCACTCATATGTAAACCACAATTACACTTAGGGGAGATGTTGTTATATATTGTGGGGGCGGAAACCAAAACAGAAATAGACACATTAAACTTTTAGGGAAAAAATGCAGACCTCCAAACCTAGGGTGCTCACAAATTGGGAAAAGTTGTTTAAATCTTACATACTAATTTTTATTTCTTGTTGGTTATTTAAAGGTTTTATGAGAGCTTATTTCTCTTTCACTTACCTCTTTCTGACGACCTACAAACCGAATTTTCCTGTAGTCTTTATCATCATAAACCTGAAAAGAAAAAGACCATATGTGACTTTTACAGCCTCATTCTCAAAGAGGTGACTTAGTATCAATTGCAAACATTACAGAAAAGGGTTTTTCTTAATGTTTACGCCATCCTGGATCAAACACATGATGGGCCAAGTGTGGCTGTGCAATCAGAGGCATTTCTCAGCCAGACCCCTAAGATGAAAATGGGCAATAGTCTGAACTGGAAGGCTGCAAGGTGGGGTGGGAGTGCAGACAAGGCATAGTAAGGCAGGAGATGCAGCCCGCCCCCCCCCCCCCCCCCCCCCCGCTTCTTTACATATGGCCCATGGCTTATGTCCCCTCTAAATCTACTGGGTGACACTTTAATAATATACGTACTTACTTTATCATCTTTGGCTTACGACTGCACCCTAAGACTGTCTTTGTGTTTTAGAATACAGCAGACTCTCATGTTATTTAAGCGTACAGTTTAATATCACACAACCATTACAAGATTCGAGCAACAGAATTGGTCGCTCTGAGTACAATAGGAAGCCACCCCACAGCTACCTTCTGGGTAACAACTTAATTTTAGAGTTCGGAGACATTGGATGAGACCACAGAATCTGTAAACACGCCGCTAAGACCAGCACCGCGGCAGCGGTTTTAATCCACCTAGGTTACTGCGTGAGACAAAAGTAGAGTTCGACCGTGCCTGTGTCGTACGAGGGACCAGCACGGTACTCAGCCGCCGGTTCTCCACGGTCCCTGCCCACGAACCAAGAACGGGAGGACACCGGGAAGACCCGGGACACCGGAGACAGGGGAAAAATCGGGAGCCTGACGTGGGCCCCGCCCACTCCGCACCGCACCGGTTACCTGGCCGGTGTGCGTGACTTTCTCCCCAGCCGGCGAAATGTGCACCCCGAAACATCTAGCGCCCCGGGGCAGACTAAGCGCCGCCGCGCCTCTCCGGCCCAGAAGCCGACAGAAGGTCAATGTTGCCGCCATCTTGCGGATTGACCCGTGACCCAGCGCGTCGACGCGCCAGCGCCGACGCTTGCGCAAAGCCTCGCAGGGCCCGCGAGGCCGGGACTCAGCGAGCCCTAGGAAGATGCGCACGCGCGTTTTGGTCGGGCACGAGCGCCCCGGCAGGAGCTGCCGCGCGTCAGGCCTGAGCAGGGATAAGACAGGCAACTTTGCGCAGAACCAAAGCGGTTATTCGTACTAGGGGAAGGACTGAGGTGGGTAGAAAGTAGAGATGCATTGTTTGCATTCGATGGCAATCGATATTCAAGGGGGATACACACTATATGTTTTTATTGGTGAAGGATCCCTGCCTAGAGAAGAAATTGGAAGTGCATTCCCGTTGCGCGGTGCCCATTTCTTTGTTGCCGCGGGGACAACCTGCTTGGGGATTTCTGCAGCACAGCCCCAGTGATGCTACCAGTAAAGCCTAACCGTTGTCGCCCCACTCTCGCCCGCCCCCTAAGTGATCAGTCCCGGACTGGCCCACTCCAGAGAGCACCTGGGCAGGACCCTGGCTGGCGTACTGGCGCTCCCCTTTTCGGCTCTTTTGCATAGAGGAAGTTTTTACTCTAAACTTCCTTTGCACAGACACAGCGGGATGGGCGAAAATAGAAGGAAGGGGGACAGACTTAGTTCGGGGTTGAGTCGCTCACCCCCCACCCCTCAGTATCTGAGTACACCCACAGCTGGGACTCCACTCCGGGTACGTGGAGGAGACCCCGGCAAGGTGATGGGAAGCGTGATGCCCTAAAAAAAAAACTCTCGGAAAGGAAGGGTACTTACGGACAGGTGCTCAGAGGCAGAGCCGAAGCTCCCCTGGACAGGTGCACCACGTCTGCAGGTCGCCTTCGCGTGCCCTGAAAGTAAACATATGGATTCGCGGACACGCCCCCTGAAAGGCACGTTCGTCGTCGTTCGCGTAACCTGGGTGGTGGGTACATGGGTGTTCACCATAAAAGTCAACTTTTTATTTGTTTTAAATGTTTCATAATAAAACATTGGAGGAAAAGAAAGATATTTAATTGCAACCATTTAGAACCACTGTTTCCACTCGTTTCCCTTGGACTCGCCAGTTTTCCTAGGATGTTCACTTAATACAATCATATCGTTTTTCCATGTTTTATTTTGACATTAGTATTGTCGGTTTTTCAAGTCTGCTTGGTTGTAACTTTTTCATTCTAGGTACATATTTTCGTTCCCATTTCTGTATTCACCTACCCACCATCACCACCACCAGTCTTAGGCGACAGGTTGCGGGGGAAATCCTGCTAGGTTGAGGCCTGGGACTGGAAGGCGGGCGAGGAAAAAACCCGACTCCTTCCAACGCAGGGCTCAGGAGCTCGATCTCGGCGCCCCGCGCTGCAGGTGCCGAACACGTAACCGCGCCGCCCTTTTTCTTTCGGGAGGAGACTCCGGGCGGTGGCGTCTCCACCTCATTGCGCAGGCGCGGGCGTGGGGCGAGGAACGCTGCTGGCACCGCCAGGGCCCGTTCTCCCCAGGTCAGAGGTCCTTGCGGGTCTAGAGCAGTTCGGGGCTAGGGAGGCGGCGGGATGCCGGGGTTCGGATCTCTTATGCTGCCGCCTGCCGGGTCGAGGTTGCGGACGGGCTCGGCCCGGAGACGCCGTCTTCGCGGCCTCAGTTTTCCCCTGTTGGTGGCGGTCAGAGGGCGCGGGTGAGGGAGGGGGCCGAATCCATTCCTTGGGCGCCCAGACTTCAAGGGCGGTGTGCGGACCCCGAGCGACACGCGCCGGTGTTGGGGCCGAGTCCTGTGGCGCCACTTAGTGCGCCTCCTCCGGGAAGCCCCGCGCAGTCCGCATCTGGGAAGCGGCTCCGCCGGAGTTCCCGTGTAGTCCGCCGGTAGGGCACCGGCCCGGGAGCGGGGTGCTTCATGCCCCGGAAACCAGCTGTGCCCTTACTAAACCTGAGCGGGGGACGGAGTTCACAGAAAAGCGGTTACCTCGATTGTATGAGGATGTGTACCCATCCTACACGTGGGCGCTCGCCTCGCTGAAACTGGTGGGGCATGGACAGGGGCCTTGTTTAGCCCCTAGCGGCCCGGCCCTGAGCCCCTGGGTGGGGTTGGGCTGCATTGCCGCTTTGTCCTGACCTAGAAGGGCAAGTCACTAACTCCTCCAGCTGGTTTAATTATTTGGGGGGGGGGGGGGGGGCCGTGGCCTACGCCTAAGGTCCCGTCAGCGACGCCTGGGCTCCCAGCAAAGAGCGGTACTGCCAAGGGCTCCACAGTGCCCCTGTCCCGGCAGAGCTGTCAGGGTTTGTGCTGTACTGGGGAGTGGTAGCGCCCCTTACCCCTCTGCTCCTATGCCTACGCCACAGTGAAGTAGGGAAAACAAAGTTGTACAAGTAGGAAGCATGGAAGACGCTGTAACAACCTTTTTTTTTTTTCTTGCATGGATTCAGCCACGACATGGCAACTGTTTTTATAAGGAAAATGGTGGCTTCTGCTGTGAACCCCCTCCTACATCTGAGTCGTTGCACGACGACACCCCGTCCACTCTCCACACTGCTGCTGGGTCCCCTGGGTGTTGGAGCTCCAGCAGGTGCGAAGCCCGGTGAAGTGGTGGCCTCACTTCTCTCCTGCCGCCCCCTGCCCTGCCTGCAGCCTGCTCTGGGGTTCAAGACCAAGGGCGTAATCAAGAAGCGTTGCCGGGACTGTTACCGGGTGAAGAGACGTGGGCGGTGGTTCATCTACTGCAAAACGAACCCAAAGCACAAGCAGAGACAGATGTAGTTCCTTTGGCTGTGAAAATAACATGCAAGATTGTACCATTTCCTTGGTGTTAACTTATCAAAGGAAAATAAATTGTAAACATTCTGGTTTCTAAGATTGTTCACGTGCCGATTTTGTTGACTCCCACTTTCCAGGCATCTCACTCTATCCAGATCTAGTCCAACCAGAGCTGCCAGCTGGGAAGCTGGCAGGAGGACAGAAGACGGGGTCGAGGGAAAACGGGTTTACCCCCCAATATCAGAATGCAAATCCTTTAGGGAGAACTAGATTCGATCTCAGGCTGGCCTGTGGAGTGGCTCATGGCCCTGTGTCTGCATTCAGCCATGCTGCTGCTTTGCTGGGGTTCGAGCTCCTTTCAGCACTCCTGTCTTCAGGATGAGGATGTAAGACCTTGATAGCAGGCCTTAAGTCAAGGACAATTTAATTGTTTATATATGAAAGTATTTTGGATATCAAATATGTTTATCACCCTTGGCCTGCAACATGAGTGTGCATGTGTTCGTGTGTGTGTATGTGATGTGTGCATAAATGTGCACCCACTGTGTGAGCAAGAGGCCCCTCCTGTGGTGTGAAGGCAGGAGAGCTCAGAGGTGGTTACAGCAGCCTGGGTGGGTGCTGACTGATCCAAGAGCGACCAAGGGGGAAGCAGAGGGCCACGTGCCCTGGGTGGGGTCTTGGCTCTGCTCCCTCCTTGGCTCTGCTCCCTCCTTGGCTCTGCTCCCTCCTTGGCTCTGCTCTGTTGGGCCTTGGACTAGAAGCTTCTGTTGAAGCCTCAAGTTTAAAAAAGGGTCTGATACTACTCTCCCCTCCCTGCAGTGTTTTGAAAACCTATTCTCCACTCACACTTTTGCCCTTAGAGTCTGCCACAGAGCCTGGTATACAGTAGGCACTCAGCAAGTGAATGTAGACTGGAATGATCATGCCTCCTTGTAAGCAGGAAGTCCCTTATCCTCTCTGCCTATTTAGAACTGGCTCATCCTGCAAGGCCAAGCCCACATCTCTGATCTGAAGAGGTGGTTGAAGTCCCGTCCAACAGACCCAAACGCCTCCAGCACTGGAGTGTGGATTGTGAAGTCAGCTGCTGGATTTGTCTAGGTCTCTAGCTATTTCATGTATGTGTGCACACACATGTACACATGTGTATGCATATGTATACCACATACCTTCTTTTGATTATTTTCTCCTTGACAGGTGAGAGGTTTACTTGTCAGCATCTGGCTCTGCGGGACACAGTGCTGGTGACATATGTCCACATGAGTGAATCTATAGAGATATTGAGGGACAGGCAGTCCCAGGTGTAGTGAAACAATGAGGCCTATGTCCACATGAACCTGTGGTTGCTACTAACAACCTAGAGTTCTAACAGGGCATTGATGAGTTTCTAAATAGCCGCTTTCTCCTGAGATTACTAATCTCTGTTTGATCTAATGTCATAGCTTGTGTGCCAACCAAGCCCTCTTACAACTCATCTTTCCCAGTACCCAAAGGACCAGCATAACAAAAAAATTTGTTTAGGTCAGGAAGCAGCCAATTACGTTCTATAGGCCAGATCCAGTCTGCCACCCATTTTTTAAAATAAAGTTTTATTGGAAAACAGCCATCTTATTCATTAATGTATTGTTTGTGCCTCCACAGGAGGCAGGTGTGAGTAGTTGCAACGAAGACCATATAGCCTGAGAAATCTAAAGTATTTAGTAGCTGGGTACAAATTTAAGATGGAAAATTAGGAAGAAATTAACTGATCTTATTAATTGTATTTCACGTATACTTCTTTACTAGAGACCAAGATCATTTAGGAAAGAAAAAAAAAGTGTATTATTTACCTGTGGCTACTGCAACAAATTAACAGACTTGGTCTTAAAGCAACAGAAATGTATTCTCCTACTTAATCCAGGATGATCTCATCTCAAGATCCTTAACAACATCTGCAAAGACCCTACTTCCAAACAAGGTCACGTTCTGAGACATAAATTTGGCGGGCGATGCTAGTCAATCCACTACAAGTGGTATAGAATATTTTTTAAAAATAACTAATTTAAATTATTGCTAATAACGTATTCACATTCTTCAAAATGCAGTGGAAATCCTCCCAACCCCCTGACCCAATTTCTCTCCCCAGAAGCAAGATTGACCATCAGCTCCTAAAATACCCATTCAGTCATATTCTGTGACTCTTCAGACAAATCTCCGACTCCATTCCTGTCCCCACTCGTACAACTATCCTGAACCTGGGACACATCTAGGCGGGGTCTTGTGCCAGCAACCACAGAGCATCCTCTTTTTTCTCCAGGTCACTCTGCCCTGATTTCTTCAACAAGTTGGTATAAGAGATTGTAAGCATCATTTTTTACTTCTGCATCTATACCATTTTTTTTAATATTCTCTTTCTTTTTTTTTTTGGTTTATACAACATTTTCTTCTATTTTGTACTTAGTGGCTGAGATTCCCAATTAGGGACCAGTTATTTTTTTCTCCACATTCCTACTTGTCATTTTTCTGTTTAAAAAGCATGGAAAAAAATGAGAAATTTACAGAACAAAGAGAGCTGTTTTGCATTGCATGAGAAATTGACTTTAGCTGCATCGATATTCAGAACAAAGCTGTCAGGAAGCTAGCCCTTATGAGCCTCAGGGGTCCAGCCATGCAGCTCCCACGTGTGGGGTGCAAACAGATTTCCTCCTCTGGTCGCACCATTAAAGATTCATTGTCTTTTCTGCAGAATGTGATGCGTGTTTTTCCTTACATAGTGATGCCATTATACTAAACTTAACATGAATTACTGGGCAGAAATTCTAGCACTTTATTCTCTGAAGGAGGCTTTCTCCTAAGATTTCTGTCTAAAGTTTTAATTGCTCTTTCAGTGTTAATAACATGTAGTCATCTATTCTAAAATGAAGCCATAGGTTTTCATTTAAAACTTCTATCAATTTAATTACCTAACACATTGTTTTATCTAGGGTAAAAGAGCCTTCTCTAGTAAGTCAGTCACATTCTGTGATTCTTCATTTATTTATCCATTTGCCACAATAGTTATTAAGCTTCTCTGCTGTATCATGTTCTGTGCTGAACACATGGTAGGTATATGGATTCATGCATGAAGATAGTCCTGTCTGATCACCTGATGACATGCCTCATATTGTGTCCACTACATGAGATGGGGCTGAAAATACCAGTGGTTAAAACAAAATATGCAGTGTTTTGCCTTACATCAAGCTAGCACTTTAGCAGGCACTCTTGGTGTTTGGGTTTCCCAGTCTCTGTCCTCTCTGTCACTGGCAATTCTTGGTGCTTGGTTTCCAGTCTCATGGCACAAAATAGTGGCTGGAGCCCCAGCTATTACATCCAACATTCCAGGCAGTCAAACAAAAAAGGGCTAGAGGACAAATCAAATACCAGATGCGCCTTGTCCCTCTCATCCTTTTGAATACCTCTCCCTGGTTCACCCAGGGTTTCACTTTCTTGCCAGAGGCTACCCCTAGCTGTGAAGGAAGTAGGAGCAACACTATGTGCAGGACTGGATAGTACTCTGCGCCTCTTGTGGAAGGAAAGAAAGGAAACTGATGACCAACCTGTAGTGGCTCACAACCCTCTCGTCTGCATCTGGAACCTTCCATGCTTCCCAAGTGATAAAAGACAAAGGGACCAGTGGGCAAACGGTCAAAGGCTGTGGATGTAAGAACAGTGAGACTACACAATCTCCAGCACTGGCTGAGCAGGACTATCGACCTGGTGGCCTGCTCAGGTGAGTGCAGTCAAGTACGTGCCCTCACTGTTCTTGCATCCACCCTCCTCACAGGGCTGCTGCTGGATCACCCTTCATTCCATAAACTTTCATCCCTTCTCCAAGAACTTCTAGTAATTTTGTGTGATGTTCCAATACTTTGTATTGGAAGAGTTTCCTGTGGCTTCTCAGTTCTCAGTATCTTCAGACTTTGATGTGGATCCTTGTAAATATTATCTTGAAGTACAGAGTTTGCTGTTTGCCTCAGCATTTAATGTGCTTATGGGCTGAGTTCAGGGGCATTACTCTGGCTCCTCTAAAGTAGACTTGCGTGGTTGAGCTCTGGCTCAGCTCTGCTGATAAATCAGCCCCATTTTCACTGCCAGATGCTGACGGCACTGTCGCCATCTGGAGGTACTGCTATATAGGAGGGTAAGAAGGGTGTCTGGACATTATTTAATTTCTCCCAGGCCTCAGCCCCAGGAAATATCTGGCCTTTTTTTAAAAAATATTTCTGAAGTTCCAGATTTGCACACCTCCGTAGCACAGGGACCAGGGTCTCTGGAGGAAGCCTGAATCAATCAATCTCTAGATCGATTGCTCTATCTCTCTGTATACCTACCTACCTACCTACCTATCTCCCTTTCCCTCCTTTTCTCTCCCCTAGCAATGCATGAACTTAGTCTCAGTGGTTCTTCTCTACCTAGGTATGTAACACATTTCCCGGCCATGGGTCATCTGACTTCCTCTATTCTCTGAAAGGTCACTTCCTCAGACCGCAGAGGGGTGAGCTCACGTGTACGCTGGGGATAGTAATGGCCACCCATGGAGGGTTTGGGACGATTCAAGGAGACCCCATACCCTCAGCCCTTCCTTCACCCAGAGCAGGACTGGATCCCACCTGGCTGCATTAGTGGCAGAGGAGAACTGCTGAGAAGGGCGTGTGGAAGGTTCTAAGAAGAAAGGTAACAGAGGCTAGGAGACAGCCTCTGGAACCCAAAGGGAAAAAAATGCCTGAGGAGACAGGCAGGGGGAGCGTGCTGGGAGCATGCTGACAGAGGGTGGGAGTGGGGTCAGAGCAGAGATTCCAGGGCTGGTGGCTATCACTCAAGGAAGGGCCAGGTCCCATGCATATTTAGGACACATGGTAGTCGCAAGAGTTTCAATCGTCACCCAGCTGAAAATCAACAGGGGCTGAGTGCAGACTGGGCTGAGGACAGGAGACAGACCACAGAATCAGTAATCAGCCTCCAAATTTGAAGTGAGACAACGGAGCACTGCAGGATGATGCTGGGGCTTACGGAGGGAGGACAGGATGATGGCCAGCCAGCATCTGGCCACGGCAGGATTGTGACTGGCCACACTCCGTGAAG